GTTGTAAAAAGCATGATAATATATTAAGTAATCCAAAGTATTTAGAATACGTTACTGTCATTGAGTAACGTAACGGAATACGTTACAGAATACATTTTGGGGCATGTATTCTGTATTCTGCAATGGAATACATTTTAAAAGTAACCTTCCCAACACTGTTAGGGACTAGTAAAGCGCTATATAAATACAGGCCATTTACCATTTACCATTAATCCCGACTGTGATACTGCCCTGTTCCTGATTCTAATTTAGATCCCGATTCTAATTCCAATTTGAATTTTTTAAAAGAATCCTAATTCAAATCATGGTCCTGGATTCTGACAACGACCCAATCTGAATTGGAATCGTGATTCGACCCTGATATGAACATAACCCCAATCCATTCCTATTCCCTGTCCTGGATTTGATCATGACCCTGATCTTAATTAGGATCCCAGTCACAATCCTAATGCTGACTCTGATTTCAGTTCAGATTCTGATCCTGGTCTGAAACTGATTCTAATCCAGATCCTATTTCTGATCCTGAATATGAACCTGACTCCGACCCAGAGTCTAATTTTGGATTCTGATCTTTATCCTGATCTAAGTCCCAATCTCTATTGAAGTCTGGGTCTTGATTTTGACCCCGATCCTAATGTGGACCATGATCCCAATTCTAATTTCAATACTAATTCTAATTCCTACCCAAATCTTTGATTCTGGCACTGATCTAGGTCTTTAATCCTAACCCTAATTCTGACCCTATGTCCTATCGTGAACCTGAACAAAATCCTGACCCTGCCTTGAATTCTGATCCTGGTCCTATTCCCAATCCCGTTTCTAACCCCACAGACATGCAGACTCTGAGGACCACGCTGGCCTGCCTGGGTAAAGCTTTCACCTCAGCCTCCTTCACCACCGTTTACCTGTACACCGGTGAGCTGTACCCAACAGTTATCAGGTGATTAAATAAAACCAATGGCTCATATTTAATATTAAATAATGTTAATTTACCTAACAAAAAACGCATATCTACAGGATCAAATTGCTGAAACAACTGATTAATGAGTTTGAGTAATATTCCTGTTCTGATGACTTCATAACCACTGGTCTGAATACTAAACATCGCAGCTAGGCCAGGGTCATGCGACTCATCTCAATAACTCACTGATAGGATGAGGCAGGGTCTCACAACGGTTTCACCCGAAACCCTTTTTCACACCTTGACTCGGGGGTCAGCAAGCTTTAAGACCCAAAGAGCCTTTTGGACCCGGTTTACACGGAAAAGAAAACTGGGAGCCGCAAATACTTTTTGACATCTAAAACAAAGATAATACTGCACACATTGTTTTTTACCGTTATGCTAAACAACTATAGTGTGTTGCTTATGAAATCCATGAAGTGCTACAAAGAAAATTAAATTTTATTTATGTAATGAACACATTTTGAACTCTTAAAAAATTATAACAAAAAAGAAAAACATCCAGGGGAAGGTCTCTTTTAAATTAATTAAAAAGATGAACTTAAATTTAGCAAACAAAGACTGAGCCGTCATCCTTGTATCCTTTTTGGGCTTTGACCTGAATTTTAAAAATAATTGGAAAAAAGCACTATGCTCCTAAAAAATGAATAATAAATATTTGCAAAATACCTGCATAAATATTTATTTTGCCTGGTTAATGTGTATGGTGGGGCGTGGTCTGCAGTGCTGCTGCAAGAGAGGTGGTCACACCTGCCTTAAAGTTGGTGCTCTCTCTGCTGTTGTGTTATGTGTCGGACTGTGTGCTGGAAATAAGACCAGCTGCATGCGCACAGCAACCGCGTGTGAAAAGTGGCCAATAAAGAGAAGCTGTAAACAGTTATGAAAATTTGGTCTCTTTAATAATAATAATAATAATAATAATAATAATAATAATAATAATAATAATAATAATAATGGATGCATTTCTATAGCACTTTTCAATGGGACTCTACTCCTGAACCTCTGAACATACTGGTAGGCCGTTCTCGTCAGAAGTAAATGCAAATAAATCTGCCCAGGCATCATTAAATGTTCTATTTTCTTCAGATATTTTTCTTTTCTTACATTTCTCCATACTTGGGCTACCTCTGATAAATGCACGGCGTTTCGGGTATACCAGCTTCTCGAGTGTGACTCTAATTTTGAGCAATGAAAAAATAATAAAATATAATTTTATTTTATATTTCAAATCACATAATCTTCCAATTTAGAACTACAAGTTAAAAAAAGAACAAACACAAATAAAATACACTTCAGCTAAATACTTTAATTTATTTTCCAAACCACGGAGCCGCATACAGGGAGTGCAGAATTATTAGGCAAATGAGTATTTTGTCCACATCATCCTCTTCATGCATGTTGTCTTACTCCAAGCTGTATAGGCTCGAAAGCCTACTACCAATTAAGCATATTAGGTGATGTGCATCTCTGTAATGAGAAGGGGTGTGGTCTAATGACATCAACACCCTATATCAGGTGTGCATAATTATTAGGCAACGTCCTTTCCTTTGGCAAAATGGGTCAAAAGAAGGACTTGACAGGCTCAGAAAAGTCAAAAATAGTGAGATATCTTGCAGAGGGATGCAGCAGTCTCAAAATTGCAAAGCTTCTGAAGCGTGATCATCGAACAATCAAGCGTTTCATTCAAAATAGTCAACAGGGTCGCAAGAAGCGTGTGGAAAAACCAAGGCGCAAAATAATGCCCATGAACTGAGAAAAGTCAAGCGTGCAGCTGCCAAGATGCCACTTGCCACCAGTTTGGCCATATTTCAGAGCTGCAACATCACTGGAGTGCCCAAAAGCACAAGGTGTGCAATACTCAGAGACATGGCCAAGGTAAGAAAGGCTGAAAGACGACCACCACTGAACAAGACACACAAGCTGAAACATCAAGACTGGGCCAAGAAATATCTCAAGACTGGTTTTTCTAAGGTTTTATGGACTGATGAAATGAGAGTGAGTCTTGATGGGCCAGATGGATGGGCCCGTGGCTGGATTGGTAAAGGGCAGAGAGCTCCAGTCCCGACTCAGACGCCAGCAAGGTGGAGGTGGAGTACTGGTTTGGGCTGGTATCATCAAAGATGAGCTTGTGGGGCCTTTTCGGGTTGAGGATGGAGTCAAGCTCAACTCCCAGTCCTACTGCCAGTTTCTGGAAGACACCTTCTTCAAGCAGTGGTACAGGAAGAAGTCTGCATCCTTCAAGAAAAACATGATTTTCATGCAGGACAATGCTCCATCACACGCGTCCAAGTACTCCACAGCGTGGCTGGCAAGAAAGGGTATAAAAGAAGAAAAACTAATGACATGGCCTCCTTGTTCACCTGATCTGAACCCCATTGAGAACCTGTGGTCCATCATCAAATGTGAGATTTACAAGGAGGGAAAACAGTACACCTCTCTGAACAGTGTCTGGGAGGCTGTGGTTGCTGCTGCACGCAATGTTGATGGTGAACAGATCAAAACACTGACAGAATCCATGGATGGCAGGCTTTTGAGTGTCCTTGCAAAGAAAGGTGGCTATATTGGTCGCTGATTTGTTTTTGTTTTGTTTTTGAATGTCAGAAATGTATATTTGTGAATGTGGAGATGTTATATTGGTTTCACTGGTAAAAATAAATAATTGAAATGGGTATATATTTGTTTTTTGTTAAGTTGCCTAATAATTATGCACAGTAATAGTCACCTGCACACACAGATATCCCCCTAAAATAGCTAAAACTAAAAACAAACTAAAAACTACTTCCAAAAACATTCAGCTTTGATATTAATGAGTTTTTTGGGTTCATTGAGAACATGGTTGTTGTTCAATAATAAAATTATTCCTCAAAAATACAACTTGCCTAATAATTCTGCACTCCCTGTATAAAGACTGAAGGGCCGCACGCTGATCAATAGTAGGTCCAGGACCATCTTAGGGGACACTCCCATGGGGCTTAAAAACTGGGATTCTCCAACATTTCATCTGAGAACTGAAGAAGCTTCTCAGTTGAAAGATCTTCAAGCAACTTAAAGAAGTCCAGACTGCGATGACCTGATGGCTGAGAACCTTCAGACATGTTGCCTTGCACTCTATAAACTAAATTACCAGCTGACAGGGGGAGAGCACTGTTGTTTTATTATTATTTAATGCTGACCTATGCTTCCTTATTTTTCTTACTGTGTGGAACTTTGACATTTTGAATAATAATTCAAAGTTATGTTACAAACAAGGGCAATACAAATTATTAACCTGCTGGCTGTTACCATCACACTGTTTCCATAGTCCACATTATGAAACTTAAATGAATTATTATTACTATTATCTCTAAAGCACAGTGAAAATGACACAGTCTAAACTGTGTATAAAGTTTGTTTTTTGTGTTATGTGTCGGACTGTGTGCTGGAAATAAGACCAGCTGCATGCGCACAGCAACCGCGTGTGAAAAGTGGCCAATAAAGAGAAGCTGTAAAGCATGTTCATGTAAACATCGTTGGGTCTGCCGTGATATAATAATAATAATAATAATAATAATAATAATAATAATAATAATAATAATAATAATAATGGATTGCATTTCTATAGCACTTTTCAATGGGACTTCTACTCCTGAACCTCTGAACATACTGGTAGGCCGTTCTCGTCAGAAGTAAATGCAAATGAATCTGCCCAGGCATCATTAAATGTTCTATTTTCTTCAGATATTTTTCTTTTCTTACATTTCTCCATACTTGGGCTACCTTGATAAATGCACGGCGTTTCGGCAGATATACCAGCTTCTGCGAGTGTGACTCTAATTTTGAGCAATGAAAAATAATAAAATATCATTTTATTTTTATATTTCAAGATCACGATAATCTTCCAATGTAGAACTACAAGTTAAAAAAAGAACAAACACAAATAAAATACACTTCAGCTAAATACTTATAATTTATTTTCCCAAACCACGGAGCCGCAGTACAGGGAGTGCAGAATTATTAGGCAAATGAGTATTTTGTCCACATCATCCTCTTCATGCATGTTGTCTTACTCCAAGCTGTATAGGCTCGGTGCTGAGGTGTTTTTTCTGTTATCAAACTGTTCTCCCACTAGGAGCTCAGTCTGAGTGGAGTTTTTTTTCTCCTCCTCTTACCTCATGTAGTGTATTTTCGTTGTTTTTTCCTATCAGCCTACCTTCTGACATGTCTGCCCAATGTGATGTTTGTGTAAAGTTGGTCAGAAGGTTCCTTTGTAAGTGCGCATGCGCCATTAGCGTGCTGCCTGCTGTAACCCTAATTTCCCTCGGGATGAATAAAGTATTCTGATTCTGATTCTGATTAATATCTTTTCATTCTGCATATTCATATTACCTGTATAATCTGTGCTCTAACCCAGCGGTCCCCAACCCCTGGGCCTCGACCGGTACCGGTCCGTGAGTCGTTTGGTACCGGGCCGCGAGAGTTGAGGCTCAGGTGTGAAATGTATGGTTTTCAGGGTTTTTATCGGTTTTCAGCAGTTATTTTGTTATCGTTTTTATCGTTAACTCGGTTTTCCTGGGTCTTTTCACGTGTGTTATGAATAAATCTTCTTTTTTTCGGTACCGGTACTAGTTTTATTTTGTTGTATTTATCCGCGACACCTTAAAGGCCGGTCCGTGAAAATATTGTCGGGCATAAACCGGTCCGTGGCGCAAAAAAGGTTGGGGACTCGCTGCTCATATAGTGAATGGAAACCAGCTACGTTACTGTAAGAGCATTATGTCATCTAATGAACAAAGCAGTAATTTAGCTGTTAAAACTATGCCATTGGACATGTGGAAATAATATTATGTCAGCAGCATTTAGAATAAATACATAGATAACATTTAAAAGGTGAAACTGAATGAAAAGATAAACATCTGAACTGTTAGCAACAGTCAGCATGTAGCTACTCGACAATATCTTTAAACTGATGAGTATATGCTGCTAACATGTTCTCACGCGACATCAGTGAAACTATAAAGTAGTAGTAGTATTTATTGTCATTGTCAAGAACAATGAAATTGCGTTTGGGGCTTCCATACAACCCAAAAAAGAAGAAAATAATAAATACCCCTTAAAACCCAAGTGTACATATTTAACCCAGTGTGACTCCAATGCAATAAGACAATCCTTAGCAATAATGTTCGTAGAAATTCAGACAAAGACCTGAGAAACATGACAAAATACAACAATGCAACCCATTCAATATTATTGTACTGTGAGATATGATATCAGATATGATAGTTATCTATTTAAGAAAGGGGGGCGGAGGGGGAAGAGAATAAAGATATGATGCACCAATGCAGACCAGTTCATTGCTATTAAGAAGTTGGATATGGTTATTGTCCGTGAGAGGGGGGCAGAGAGTTCAGGAGCCTCACAGCCTGTGGATACAGGCTGTTGGCCAGTCTGGATGTTC